AAATGTTGGCAGATGCTATTTGCACCCAGGTGTCAGTAACCAAACAGGGTTTGTCAAGACAAACATGGAAGCGGATTCCTCTAAGAATTCCATGACTATTAGTCTATTGCTAATGAATCCACACAGTTTTTTAACAGCTTTTTTGAACAGCTTTAATATCTCCTTTTCACTTCCTTTCCCTCCTGTATCCCACTCCTCTCCCTGTTCAAGAGACAGTGGAGAAGTGAACTTTAGCTTGTCCTGCCAGGATTTTAAATCTGGGCTGGAATGGTGACAGGGCCAATCTCATACACACGTGTAGGTTCTCACTGGTGAGAGTGGAAGTCTGCATCTGAGGGCCCCTGGATGAGGGGACAGTGATAGCTGGCATTGTGTCAATCTCTTACTGGGACGTGACTGGCCAGAATTCGATGGCCTGCTGGCATCCACTGCATCCAAAATGCATTACATTTAAAATAAGGTACAACAATCTAGATTACATTTGCTAATTAAAAAAATAATAATAAATCTTTTAAATTGGGCTGTATATCAACCCAACAGTCATCATCAGGTGACCTAATTACAAAGAGGTTGAATTGGCAATTATTTGAACTGATTAAATTCTCAAAATTCTGGGCTCCTGACAAAATGTCACCTTGTCCACCCCTTCAGTTTATATTTTTAGTTTTACATATACTGGGGCCCCGGAACTGCTGGGTCCCCTGAATCTGCCAGGGCATCCATGCCCCCACTGCATCCCTGTTTAATAGCACAGATTACAGCTGAATTACTTCAGTGTTACACTGTGCACCTGCATTACACAAAATTTTAATACTATACTCTAATAGAGACACTATATAAAAGTATTAAGAAACAAACAGGATACAGAAGCATTCAAATACAATGTAAACTATATAAGCAACCAATCACACTATGATCTTATATGAAAATAAAGCCATTAAAGTATTAGGCCTCCTATTGTCATTCAGCTGTGGGTAAAGCCTGCATGTTTAGGGGAAGCTGATTTATATGAAGCTCAGATGGATGCACTTGTTTATCTCTCTGGGGGAGTGTGGAAGTGTCTTCATAAACACAGATGGTCATACTGTACTTACCTCCATAAGGGGCTCTGGCGCCCCCACATGGTGAGGGTCTGCAAAAATAAGGAATATTTTCAGGGAATTGTGTTAAATTACTATAAATATGCTGTTTTCTTCACCAATTATTTTAATACTAGCACCATGGCCACCAGTATCGGACTTTTGAGATTCTTTATAACCAGTAGCAATTGGTTCTTAAGCTAAATTGCAGCAGGAAATATCTTGTCTTGCAAACAGAGAAGACAGATTAGCTGAATTTTCTGGATAAAATTAACAAAACAAAAATACTGTAGGAATTTGGCATGTAGATGTGTCTGTATGAATTTATGTAGCATGGAGATTCAGTGGGTACCATCTAGGGTTGCAGTTTGGCTAACTGGTGTCTCTGGAGATGGTGAATCTGCCCTTAACAGACTGGGAGTAGTAAGTGCTACTGCCATCATATCTGATATAAGCGATCCACTCCAGTCCCTTCCCAGGAGCCTGTCTGACCCAGTTCATGCCATAGCTACTGAATGTGAAGCCAGAGGCTGTACTGTATATGTCAGTTTGTGTGATTCTCCAGGCTTTTTAACTGCTGCTTCAGACTCAGTCAGAGTCTGTGTATCAA